GTAATTTTGCCTTCTCCGCAATGCGCGGAGTACTACCCCAAGCATCCACTTTCCCCACCACATATATGCACTTCTCTCTCACCCATATTCAAATCCAACTAAATTAAATTATTCAAATTTCGTTTCATTTTAGACGACAAAAAAAAAAAAAAAAATGTGATAAACTTAAATAAAACCAACTGATTAAGCCCGTCCAATGTACAATTTAAGCTTGCAACTCGAATTCAAGATTTCAATTTTTGATTTTGTAAAGAGAAGAAAGAAGGAAAGAGAAAGAAGATGAAGGAGAAGATCAGTGCAGGAATGGTAGATTTAGTTAAAAAAAAAATTGGAGAAATAGTACCTCATGCTTGCAATGGTCTAACACAATACATCGTTATCAGCTGAGAGAGGGAGAGAGGACAAAAAAAAGTGGAGGACGATACATATTTGCGACACGTGTCCGACCCTTTCTTTTACACTTTATATATGTAGGATGTAGAATAATTGAGTCGTTTTCAAAAGGCCTATCTTGATATGACATGAGTTACAAGAACCATGCCAAGCATCCTTGGCTGGCAGCTCACTTAAGGCAATTTGTATTTTAAGAATATATAGTATTACCTCTACAAATTATTACTTGTTAAATTAATAATTTCTATTATATAACTAAAATTTTCGATCCATACATTTTCTCGTGTCTTTGTATCATTAATAATGATATCTAATAATGAAAAAATAACAAAGAATATCACATTTTAGATAAGTTTATGACATGAAGACATGCAATAATAATAATAATAATAATAATAAATAAATAAATAAATAAATAAAATAAAATAAAATCTACGAGTTGAAGACAAATGTGTTTTTCTTGTAAAAATAACAAAGAAAGTAACGAATTTAGAATTTTTCATCCCATCTTAGGAATGTTAAATGGCCCGAGAGTCAAGCCACTTCGCTCGCCCATTATTGGGCTCGGGCCCACCCACCACGTGAGCATGCTAGCGTCACATATAGGGCGACCCAAGCGTGAGCTTGCTCATTTCCAAAAATCCAAACAAATGAATGCTTTTTTTTCTTTTGCCATCCGTGAATTGTTAATCAACCTACCCCATTCATCGGTTCTATGTGATCTATCGAATATTTCCTTCACCGATGAGTTTTATGTTGGGAATCTACTTAAACATGCGCAACGAAAAATAGAACAAAGTTCAATTCCCACTAAGGAACTCTTGTGTTTAGATAGAAATTATGATAAAAAATATATATTTGAAGAGATCTGCGACCTTTTTGCTTTTCCTTTGTTCCAGCAACATCGATCTGCCACCCACAGTTATCCAATTGTCCGGCCTCCAATGATAATCCACACGGAGAAACAGATTGTGACAACTAGGATTTTTCTTTTGTTAGTAAAAATAATGAATTTTTTCTCTACAGATTCAAAACCCTAGCTATCTATTTATACAGACTCAAACGGGCTTGGCCCATCTCCTAATCCAGCCTAAGAGGTCTGTGAATTAATTAAAACAATTAATTAATCCAGGCTAATAAACAAGTAATCCAATTAATTAATTTATTCAACACTTGTCAAATTAATTAATTGGTAAAACACAATCTTCCAGTTCTCCTTTTGTGTGTGACCCATTAGGTTCTCAATAACGATGCCTAACGACGTAAAATATTATTTTGATCTAATCAAAATCGATAAATTAAAATACCATTTTAATTTATCACATACTCACGTTCGTCGTCCCAAATTGACATCTAGCAATGTGTCAGGACAATATATGTGACGAAAAATGTCATGTGGTATGACAAAATCAAACTTGTTCATTTATCGTGAAATTATAATCATTTCGTCAATATGATTCGATCAATTACGATATATGGATAAGTGTCAATTTCAATTATTGATATTATATTTCATTCCACTATTAAGTTAATATAAGTCCAAAACTCCTTTTCGGTTTATGAGTACACCTTGACCAAGTATTTCATTATCGACTTAACTGAATGAAATGTAGATCATAATCTTTTATTAACTAAGAGTGACAAATCCTCTATTGATCATTCATAACCTTCATATGATTCGAGATATACCTGAATGAGCCGTATTAGCGGTCCTTGGCAATCCAACATCGTTAAAGTATGACTGTCCTCATATAAGGCACAATGATGACTTCAAGTCAAATGACCAATTTCACTATCGAATGTTAAAGATTAACCACTAACACTCAGATAGTTATCCATATGAAATCTCCCAGCAAGTCTCTCATGTTTTGTTCTATATCAAACATCCACGTGTACATTCAAGAATCACCACACTTTAGCTTGTGAGATCAGCTACTTATTTTACGAATAAAAAATACCACACGTGATGGTCTATCCGTAATAAAGATATCCATATCTCGTTATTACTTAGGACCACAAATGATTTAAGATTTAATCATATGTAATTTGTATCTCACAATCATAAGTCCTTGTGATTAATAAATTACTAAGATTTGAATCTACAGACTCCATTATTTAATTCAATTGAATGTTAATTAATTAAATAATAGATCTACCATAAATCGCATCAACTATATATTAAAATTGTTTATGTCCAAAGTCGATTGAATTTAAGGTATAACACTTACATTTTATATAAAAGATATCAAACCTGTGAATCTTTTTATATGTAAACAATGAAGGGCAAGTACTTTTTCTTGTGTTGATCATATTTCAATGGAAACTTACATATCTTGCTTTTACTACTTTATTGAGAGTTAGTCCACGTATTGCTTGACATAAAACAAATAGTCGCACGTAATGGCAAATCACGACCAAAGTATTAAATGCTTGGGGGGGGGGGTAAGAATGGATTTCATTCTTGTGCTTGAAAATAATATTCCAAAGCTTTCGCATATTCTCCTTAAATAAATAGTTTTCTTTAGAATAAATTTACCTATTATGACTCGAAATGCCGTACAAAAAGTTGGAATCACGTTAAAAATAGGAGCATATGGACTAGATTGGATCCATATGGAACTATTATCGTAGCCTAGCCGGTTTTGGAGCCACTCGCGGCTCATGTTTTTTGACTAAAAATTTCCCAATGGTGAGTCGGCTCACACAAGATTTTTGATGTTTGACTTGTGCCCAAGGTTGGCCTTTGAAAATGTTGATCGCGAAATACTGATAAATAAATTTTTTTCAAATAGCCAAGACTAAACTACCTGATTCAATGCTCAAACTGAAGCTAGAAGAGAAATAACTATTCGAGAAGAAATAGCCAAGACTAAACTGTCTGATTCAATACTTAAACAAAAGCTAGAAGAGAAATGACTATTTGAGAGGAAGTTATTAAATTTTGCATGTTTTTCTTCTTCCTTGATTGTGTCTATTTGTAAGTTTTATTATTAGGCTTCGGGGGGTCAATGACTCTTTTTCGTTACTGACATGTGACATTATGAGTTAATTGTTTCAATGGTCATTGAACTTAAGTCTATGTCTTTCATTAGTCACTGAAACTTAAAATGTTGACTTTTGGTCTCGCCAATTTCTAAAGTTCAACATTTATGCTAGTGAGTAACGTACAAAATTTTTCAAAGTTCAATGATTAAAATTCGATATTTTAAATTTAGTGAGTAGTCGAAGAGATAAACCTAAATTTAGTGACAGAAACTTGACATTTTAAATTTCAGTGAACAATCAAAGATATGAACTTAAGTTCAGTATCCATTGGAACAATTAATTCGACAATTATTCACTAGCTGGTTTTTAATTGAATTTGTTAACTTTTCATGTTTTATTTACCAATTTAGTCATCATGCTTTTGTTAAATCTTGAAATTTGAATTGCAATCTTTTCATGTCAGGCTTTTTCACTTTTAATCTTGAATTTTGTCTCATTTGATTCTTTAATTCATATTCTTAGTTTTGCTTATTGATTCGTGATCTTGATTCTTGAATTATTGATTTTGGTTGTGGTTTCTAGATCTTCATTTTGAATATGTTTTCTTTTATATTTTTGTGTTGATAAAATGACAAAGTATGAGAAATTGCATTTGAATTGAGGGGGTCATAACCCTATATATAGTTTTTATATATATTTCATCCATCATGAAATACAATTCTAAAGGAATCTAATCTCTACACATATAATACGGCACACACTTTATTTATATGTCCTAAGTATAATAATTTAATTCTTTATTAGATTATTTTAATTTTGGGCTTAACTTCAATATCATCTTATACAACAAATAATTACATATATCGGCTCATATAACAAAATGATAATTTTTCCCAACCCCTCAAGCTTTAATGCTTCTACTGTTTGTATCTACTAGCCTGCTAACTTTCACTGGGCTTACCTGACATTGTAGTAGCAGCCAGCCCATAACAATATTGTCTATTGAAAGAAGTATAAACAAGAAAATACTTGTGAAATAAGAAAAGAAATATTGCACCAGAAATCCCCATCCAAACTATTTTTTAGTATTTATGTTTATCTCCCAATCAATTTACTTTTGTAGAACCTGACAGGGGAGAATTCAAAATAGTCGTAAAAATGGTTTCCTCTCCTACTCACACACATCTTTTTTTTTTTATTCACATCCAAACTACTCACCACATACATAGTAGCAGAGGTGTGAGTAAGGTACTATTTGGAAAGAGCGTGCAGAGGCTACAAGGTTATCCAGACAAAAGCGTTTGTTTAGCTACAGAGGTTGAATTTGGGTAGCGTTTGAGTCGAGAAGCAAAAAACACGAGAGTCCAGGTTTCGTACGATTCTTTCTTTTTTTTCTTTTTGCTTATTTTTCATTCTATTTCAAAAAGCTTGATACTATCTTACAACCTATTAACAAGCAACTAGGATAGAATCCGAAAAGTTAAGTTGCTAAAAAGTGAAAGGCTACCAACAAAATAAAAAATGTTAAAGACCAACTCATTGCAGATGCCATGTATTAGAACCTCCCCTGCAATTTTAACATTACAATTAGGGACAGGGAAGGTCAATGCAGGAATAAAACGACGGCGTATGCTGTAAAATCTGGCACAATTCGACACGTTATGTCAGGCCATTGCTTACACCCTCAAGATCACTGCGAAGGCCTCCAATGGTGGACTGAATTCTTGTCACGCTCCTAGAACACTCTCGCGTCCCTTTCACTCACTCAATCGACACACACATAACCCAGTGACTCTTCATCCTTCGCAAGAGCCGGCCCACCTTTTAATAAATAAAATCTCAGAAAAAATTTAGTGTTTTTCACGTTATTATATTGAAAAAAATATATAAAGATCATCATGATCCCAATGTCATCTTCAGGTTCAATTTCGCTTTCTAAAGTCTCTCACTTTCTAGAAGTTCGTTGTAAATTCATTCTTCTAACTCTTCTTGTTAAAGGGTACAGTTCGTAGATTGATAATGGCGAGTATATCAAACACACTTTCATTGAAGCATGGGCTTTCTCTGTGGTGTCCACAGTCAACTCCCTTGAATCGAATTCATCGGGGTTCTTGTTCATTTCCTTCCAGAAGCTTCCGTAGATGCTTCACGGTCTCTGCTTCCTCTTTCGCCAATGAAAATCGGGAGTAAGTTCTCAAATGTTCACTATCACTCTTAAAATACATATATCTATATTTATGTGGGGTGCGGAATGAATAATCTTTGGAGTGGATTCCCAAGGCTTGTCGCGGATGATAAAGGATTTGATTACAATTTGCTGTTGGAAGAATTGGTTGTGTCACTATTGAATCAATTTTGTATATTTCGTTTTTGTTTGTATGCATTTAAAGATGGGTGATTGTAGGTTTGTGATAGTAGGAGGTGGGAATTCAGCGGGATATGCAGCTCGGACTTTTGTAGAGCATGGAATGGCTAGTGGAAAGCTTTGCATTGTCTCCAAAGAGGTAATCTTATTTTCTTTAGTTTGATTTACATAACATATATGGTCTTATTTGATTGATAATAATAGGGATTTTTTCAAGAAGAACAAATATTTCAGTCACTATTCCGTCATTGCCGAATTCTCTCATTTTTTCCTCTTCCAAAATCCTGGTAGAGGTGAAAAGGGGGAAATAGGTTTTGTAGTATGGATGTAGACAAACAGGGTTGGAAAGAGGTTGTAATGGCAAAGAAAATGAAAGGAACAAGTTAAAGTAGATCATCTTTAGCATACACTCCGAACTCTTCAAGCTTCATTGAAAAGACTAAACTTAATGAATCAATCTGCAATGCACTCAAAGCTCATATATTTGACCTGTATCTACTTGTAATATGAATAAGTATGTCTTTTGACCTATAAAGAAGGCATTCTAAACCAAAAAATATAATCATGACCATTTTTCACATTGACCAATGGGAGATGGCTATTATGAAGAATATCTCTGATTAATGATATGCTGTGAAACATCATTTCTTGTCTGTGTACCCATAACTCCAAGGGCTGTGCTATGGGGCTGGAGTCTTTTATTATTACTGGAATCAGGGTGATAAAAAATATATATAGCAAGTCATTGTTAATTAGTCTGGAGATGATGGTTAATTAATTTATCACATTCCGTTTTTGTTTGCAACTTTTTTTGGATTTTTGAAATGATATTTTTTGTATGAACGCAGGCATATGCACCGTATGAGCGGCCAGCATTGACAAAAGCTTATTTGTTCCCTTTGGATAAAAAGCCAGCTCGATTGCCAGTGAGTGCCGCTTGATTTGTGATTTGAACTTTGACAAGATTTTATTGGGTTCTCGGGGTTTTTGTAACATTAAACTTTACGTTTCTAATTGGATCAAGTCTACCTTTCAATTACTATATATGCCTGCCTCAGTGTCAATTAAGCATAGAGCATGCTTTAGCCCCATCCCTCCCCCCTTTTTTCCCCCTCAAAAATGCATTTTGGAATAGTAATTTGATGGAGAATGTATGGTTAAAAAATAAGGAAACAATCTGGATTTGTGTGTAGTAGTATTTTATTGATGAATGTTTGGTTGAAAATAAGAAGAAAATGTATTTTGAAAAAAATGGAGACCAAAGAAGGGCTAATATAGGTGCAAATTTGCACACATTTTGTCTTATGAATGGCAAGAAAAAGTTTCAGGACGGTCTATTTTAAGTAGCAATTGCGATATTTGCGGTAGTAGGTTTTCTTCATAAGTAATGCTAGTTAGCACCACTAGTGTTACCAGACTAGGTGACATTCAAGTATAATTAATTGATAGATAATATTAAATGCAGGGACTAGTCCCATTTAAAATGACTTATCAGTTAAAGGCACATGGCTGGTTCTACATGGCATTATTCTTTCTTCATATATTGGTAAATGTAATTAAATCTGTTTTGTTTTAGGGTTTCCATACTTGTGTTGGCACGGGTGGAGAAAGGCAAACTCCTGACTGGTACAAGGAGCAAGGAATAGAGGTAATTCTTTTTCCTCATTTTCTTATTTTCTAACATGTCTAATGATTTTATGATGCTTTTTGTGGCAGCATTACTTATATGTCCAGCAGAATACCATCTAAATAGATTTGGATTGTAATGAAATGATTGATCTTCTCAATTTTCAATCTGGCAATAAACTAAAAGGAGTTGAGTTTTAGTTATGAAGTTTCTTTTTGCCTTGAGTACTCCATATTGTGTAGACGGTAATTTGTTTGGTGAAATGGCGTTTAGACTCTGGATCCATAGCTTGTGAAATATTCAATAAGTCAATTTCGGGTTTATTTTGGAAACCTAATTCAGCCTTCAGTGCTCTGCTGATCATTTGAATCCCTAGAAAATCCATGTTGATTTGGATTGATTTCTTCAGTTGACTTCAAAAACCCCATATGATAGTACTACTATATGATGATCCGATGCTTGTTGAGATTATGAATTAATTGATAATATGTAGTAACCTTTAACTTAGTTTATGGAGTCGAGAAACGTGGATTTTCTGCCTGATATATTAAGCTTTTAATCTATTTACTGTGCTCGCTCCACTTTATGTTATGATTTAGGGGAGACTTATTTAAGAAAAATGTATAGCTTGTTGGAAATATGTCTAAAACCAGCTGTAACTATGCCCAAATCAATCTGACTGTTTAAATTTTTTGCCTGGCAATGTTTCAGTGATTATTTGCTTTACATTGGCACCTTGTTATTGCTTATGATAATTATGCTCATCTTTTTTTTTTTCCTCAGATGTTGTACGAAGATCCGATAGTCAATGTTGATACTGAAAAGCAAACATTGAAAACAAATTCTGGAAAATTGCTCAAATATGGATCCCTCATTATTGCTACTGGTTGTTCAGCCTCCAGGTCTTTAAATGATTTCTTTGGTTCTACATGGCTCTCTTTCCTTCCTAAGTTTCTTTGATATGCTTGTTGCCAAACTTTATGTGTTCCTTATTTGCAATCATGGAATACTGTGAAATGCTATGTCTAGAATACTTAGCTGAATTACATAGACTTGAATCAAGCAGCTGGTTTTATGTTGCATATTATGATATAAAAAAATATCTATTTCTATGCCTCCTTTTGGCAAAATTTATAAATCATTTATAATTTGTCAAACTTATTTTCGGCCACATATTCCAATGAATCCACAAGTACTATCCACATATCGGCCACTCATTTCTATAGTGACAAGATGGTGGATAGAATATTCCATGTTATATTGTTTTCTGCAAGTCCCTAAAACTGTTGCAGTATATCTTTACATGTAATTCTTTATTCCATATATCATCTTTGTTTACTTCTTGGTTCTATTGTTTTGGTCTGAAACCAATTTGATCGAGTTCAAAATCTTGGGACTCTAAAAATATCGTGCTAATGTTATATCAGATCTGATATAATTTTTTGTTGATGGGTTCCAATTTAATGTCACATAAAAATGAAAAATTATTTTGTCTTGATCCAGATTTCCAGATAAAATTGGAGGAAACTTACCTGGTGTTCACTATATCCGGGATGTTGCAGATGCTGATTCATTGATATCCTCGTTGGTAACTACAGTTCATATAATTTTTTGAATGGTGTGTAATTTCTTGATGATATTTATTTATAAATGTTCCCCTTTTCAGGAGAAAGCGAAAAAAGTCGTGGTTGTTGGTGGTGGTTATATTGGCATGGAAGTTGCAGCAGCAACTAGTGGTTGGAATCTTGATACCACTGTAAGCACTAGTTAATCTAGCATGTTTGGCTAAGATTAAAAACGTTTACTCATAAGTAAATAGGTTAGCTTAAAAATAAAATAATTTCTTTTATTTGCAAGAGTTGAAGTTACTATTTTGACAGTGAGGTAAGAATTACTTTCAAAGTAAGTAGTTTTTTTTCAGTAAACAGTAAAATAGAAGTAATTCATCTCTACATGTTTGGAAATAAAAAGTTATTTATTTCTTAGCTTAGCCAAACATGTTGGCATTTGCTATTATTGCATATCCAACCCAACAATTTCATTTCAGCAAGTGAATTTAGTTATTGGTTGATATATCTGTTTAGAATTTGGTTGACTTATTATGTTAAGGCAATATGAACGTTCTTACCCGATTCATTCAATTATTTCATTTATGTATATTAGTCAAAGTTGAACGTGCATTGCACGTTATTCTAAATTACTTTGTAAGTGATGTAAAAATAATATTTAGTACCAATTTATTGGAGAATTTGATGATTCTCGGACGAATTAAAGAAAATAAAATTTAGCATTGAAATTTAAGAGAAGAAAATTATATTCTCAAAACTCAATTCCTATTATTTTAGATTTCTTGTAACGATGAAATATTATAAATGTACAATCTTTTTATATTACATTTGATGCATAAAAATTAGTTGTCAATACATAAATTTAAACACCCATTAAAATTTCTAGATTCATATAATTCAAGATTCATCAAATTAAAATTCATTGAATCTAGATTAATGTGAATGTTAATTAATTCTTACTACCATAATTATGTAGTATTTATTACATATCGAAAAACGAAAAGAAAGGTATTATTGAAATAATTAAATTGTGGGAGGGTTAAAATCGTCAAAAAATGATTCTCCCTTTATGTGATACTTTAATATATTATAGATTTAAAAATAACTAGTTGTAGTCTAAGTGTGATGTACATTATTTATCTTTAGACTTTTTTTTTTTTTTCCTTTCTTTTTTATAAAGACTTGTAATTCCTTAAATAACTGGAACTTAATGAGGAACTTCACCTTAATGGCCAAAAAATAGCAAAAGATTAGCCATGCATGGAACAAGCCAACAATTATTGACACTAGTACAGTTGTAGATTTTTATTGATAGATAAACTGGGAAGGCTTTCCATCTTCCACTTCAGAGAAGAGAAAAATGTTAGTAGTACTCCCGAAGTTTCATAATGAATGTCTTGTCTAGCTTTTCTTGATAAACTAGGCTCATTCTCATTCTCCTCCTCCTCCTCTTTCTCTCTCTCTCTCTCTCTCTCTCTCTCTCTCTCCAGCAATAGTTCACATGGCTTTATCAAAATTATATTATGGCACAAAAATGAACAATAAATCAGTTTAAAAGGTTTTGGAATTAAAAATTCAAATAAATCATAGCGAAATCTATTTCCAAAATGTCATCAGATTGACTTAAAGAAGCTAACTAAGACATTCACTTTGAATCAGACAAAATAGTATGAAAAAACGACTATTAATATTTGACAATAATTAAAAAAAATCTGATTATTTAAGAATCCAAGGGGTAAAGTAGATAAGGTTAGAGTCTAGATTTTGAAACTTAAGCAAAAAATAAGAAAGTTTGTAATGACAACATAAAGGAAATAGGTACAATGTAAAAAATGACCGGTAAAATTTACTCGAATCATGAAAATTTTGTAAAGAGTTTTGATGACGAAGATAGTTTAGAAAGGCGAATGGTGGAATGTCCATTGACAAAAAGTATGGTTCAATAGCCGGAAAAATAAAAATAAAAATAAAAACATTTTGTGCATGGGTTTTATCTAGCTCAGTAATGCGGAAACAGTATAAATGTTCTATCACAATGTACAGTCCAATTTAAGTAAAACTGCCTGATATAATTTAGCTAAAACAACTTTGTTTCTCTGCTCTCTCTCTCTCTCTCGTGGTGTTGGGATGAGGTTTGTATTATCCACATCATACAACATTTCTAATCTTGATAATATTCTAAGAGATACCATCAAGATTGAGATAACCTGGGTCAGAGCCCTTATTCCATGTTTGCCTAACTAAGGATCATTGAACAGTTGATGTTTCTTCTATGGTTTGAACATTAGAATTACATATCTTAGTCACCTTGTAAATAAAGCATGTAACTTCTTACTTCGGTGTCATGACATGCATTTATTTGTTATGTTTGGATTCAGGAAGTTCTTAAAGGCTAAGTTTGACTTGCACTGTCTTTTGTTAAAATAGGTGATATTTCCGGAAGATCATCTTATGCCAAGATTGTTCACTCCATCACTTGCCCAAAAGTATGAAAAGCTATACCAAGATTATGGTGTTAAATTTGTCAAGGTTAGTGTGCTCTCTCTCTACCCCCACCCACCCCT